TTGATTTGCATTTCCCTAATGACTAATGATGCTGAGCATCTTTTCATGTGCTTGTTGCCCATTTTTATCTCTGGAGAACTGTCTAGTCAAGTTCTTTGCCAATTGTATAATCAGGCTATTTGTCTTTTTTGTTGTTGAGTTATAAGAATTCTGTATGTATTATAGATACTAAACTCTTATCAGATGTATGATTTGCAAATATTTTTGCCCATTTTTTGTTCTTTTAGTTTCTTGATATTGTTCTTTGCATAAAAGTTTTTAATTTCAGTGAGTCTACTTTATTTTTTCTTTGGTTGCTTGCATTTTGGGTGTCATATCTAAAAATCGATTGTCAAATCCTAGGTCAAGAAGAAACAAAATTTTTTTTTATAGCTCTACAAGTGTGGCTCAGTTTGTTAGAGTTGTCCCATGAAGCAAAGGGTCACAGGTTCGATACCCAGGTTGTGGGTGGGTTCTATCCCTGGTAAGGGAGGCAATAGACAACTGATGGATCTTTTCACATTGATGTTTCTCCTTCCCCTGCCCCTTCCCGCTCTCCCTTCCTCTCTAGAATCAATGAAGAACATATCCTCAGGTGAGAATTAAAAAACAAAAAACAAACCTGATTTATTTTATTTTATTTTATTTTTAAATATATTTTTATTGATTTTGTACAGAGAGGAAGGGAGAGAGATAGAGAGCTAGAAACATCGATGAGAGAGAGTCATCGACCAGCTGCCTCTTGCACACCCCCTACTGGGGAAATGCCCGCAACCAAGGTACATGCCCTTGACCGGAATTGAACCCGGGACCTTTCAGTCCCCAAGCCGACGCTCTATCCATTGAGCCAAACCGGTCTCGGCTATTTTATTTTTTTAAGGAAGAACCAAAGAGAGAGAGAGATTGAAGGGAGAGAGAAACATTGACTTGTTCCATTTACTGATGCCTTCATTGGTTGATTCTTGTATGTGCCCTGACTGGAAAACAAACTCTCAACTTTGGTGTATTAGGACAACACTCTTACGCACGTAGCTACCCAGCCAGGTCCAAGGTCACAAAGATCTACCCCAATGTATTCTTCTAAGAATTTATAGTTTTAGTTCTTATATTTAAGTAGATTCTTTTGAGTTAATTTTTGTATCTGTGATATCGTGTGAGGTAAGCATCCAACTCTGGTTTTGTTTTTTATTTTTTTGCATGTGAATATTCAGTTGTCCCAGTACCATTTATTCAGTGGTCTTAAGACTCCTGTTAAAAATCAATTGACCATATTTGTTTTTTATTGTTTATTTTTGACAATTCTATTCCATTGGTCTATATGTCAATCTTTATATTACATTGATTCAATTACTGTGGCTTTGTAGTGAAATCAGGAAGCATGAGTACTTTTACTTTGTTGTTCCTTTTCAGTATTGTCTGGCTGTTTGGGGTTCTTTGCCATGTGAATTTGAATTCCCTGTAAATTTGAGGATTGGCTTTTCAATTTCTGCAGAAAAGGATGTTGGAATTTTGTTAGGGAATGTGCTGACTCTAGATCGCTTTGGTAGCGTTTTCATTTTAAATATATAAAATCTTTCAATCTGTGAACACAAGATGTATTTGAATTGTTTATGTATATCATTTTTTTCAGCAATGTTTTATAGTTTTTAATGCATCAATCTTTTACCTTCTTATGCTATTATAAGTGGGATTGTTTTCTTAATCTTTTGGGTTGTTTACAGCTGGTGTATAGAACCACAATTGATTAGCCTGTTCTTTTGCTGAATTTGTTTATTAGCTCTAATAATTGTTTTGTGGATTCTTTGCGATTTTCTAAACATATAGGATCATGTCATCTATACTAATAAAAGGATAATATTGCTAATTAGACCAGGAGACCTTCCGGATGGCCTTTCAGACAAAGCCATGGTGGTGGGGCAGAGGCAGAGGCAGTTAGGGGGCGATCAGGCCAGGAGCAGATGGCAGTTGGGGGTGATCAGGCCGGGGCTGGGGGGTAGGTGCGGGCAGTTGGGGGTGAACAGGCTGGTGGGGGGCCAGTTGGGGGACTAGCGGGCCAGTGCGGGGAGGAAGTTGGGGGCAAACAGGCTGGCAAGGCAAAATGGTTAGGGGCAATCAGGCAGGCAGGCACGTGAGCAGTTAGGAGCCAGTGGTCTCAGATTGTGAGAGGGTGGGATTGGGCCTAAACCAGCAGTTGGACATCCCCCTAGGGAGAGGGTGCAGGCCAGGCTGAGGGACACTCCCCCCCCCCATCCTTGTGCGTGAATTTTGCACACCAGGCCACTAATCCTATATAATAAAAGCCTATTATGCTAAGTATTTGGTCAACTGGTTGGCCATTCAACCAATTGACATGCCCTGACCACCAGGGGGCAGACAGTCAACCAATCTACCAGTTGCTATGTCGTGCACTGACCGCCAGGGGGGCAGATGCTCTGATTATTAGGTTAGCTTGCTGCTGGGGTCTGGCTGATCAGGACTGAGTGAGACGGGACAGACATGCCCTGGGGCCCTCCTGCAGTCCCTCCCCAGCAGGCCAATGTTCTGCATCCCTCCTTGGCCCCAGTTGTGCACTGGTGGGGTCCCTAGGCCTAGCCTGTACCCTCTTGCAATCCAGGACCCCTCAGGGGATGTTGGAGAGCTCGATCCCACATGCCAGGCTGAGGGACCCCACTGGTGCACAAATTTGTGCACCGGGCCTCTAATCTTCAAATAAAGATAGTTATATTTATTCTTTCACATTGGATGCCTTTTATTGTTTTTATTTTTCTCTTGATTAAAACGTCCAATAACATTTGGTGAAAGTGGACATCCTTGTCTTGTTCCTGATCTTAGGGGAAGCTTTTCATCACTGAGTATGATGTTAGCTGTGGGTGTCTCACAGATCCCCTCGATCATGTGGAGGAACTTCCCTTCCCTTCCTAGTTTGCTGAGTATTTTTATCATGAAAGGTTGTAGCATTTTGTTAAATGCTATATCTGCCTCATCGAAATGATCATGTGTTTTTTTCCTTCATTCTATTAATGTGTATTAAATGGATTGATTTTCATATATTGAACCACCCTTGTATATCTGGGATAAAACCCACTTGGTCATGGTGTGTAATCCTTTTAATTTATTGTTAAACTTGGGGTTTTGCTAGTTTTTGAACTTTATATATATAAAATAATTTAGTATCTAAATTTGAAAGAATTTAGTAAGTTAAAACCTGTAAGATATACTTAGGACAGTATGTGGCACGAAGTACCACTATAATGTTTATATCATCGTCATCATCATCATCAGTATCATTTACTGGATAGCTCCTTAAGAGGAAACAACGATTCAGAAGTGAAGTGACTTAACTGGTGGCCACACAGCAAATATAGCCCAGAGCCCCACCCTGCCATCCTATTCACATGTGCCATGTGAGTTGAGGGGTTGGCACTCTGCAAAGTGGGCTGATGATAGAGCATTGATTGAGTGCCTGCGGTGCGTGCTGAGCCCTAAGCTGGGGTTTATGCTGGTGATTGCATAGTTTTTAACAGTTTCAGATATAATTTACATACTATACAATTCAGCCTTTTATTTAAAAATATATTTGCATTGATTTCAGAAAGTAAGAGAGAGAGAAACATCAATAATGAGAAAGAATCATTGATCTGCTGCCTTCTGCATACTGGGGATCTAGCCCACAACCTGGGAATGTGCTCTGGCCAGGAATTGAATCGTGACCTCCTGGTTCATAGGTTGATGTTCAACCACTGAGCCACGCCAGCTGGGTGCAATTCATCCTTTTAAACTATACAGTTCAGTGGCTTTTAGTATTCAGAGTGTGCAGCCATCTCCACAATTAATATTAACACATTTTATATTGTGCTCCTGCCTGCTTTCCTGTCCTCCCTCCTCCCACCCACGTGCCTCTTGTGAGGTACTGTCACACCCTGCTGTTCATGTCTGTGGATTTGCCTAATCTGGACATTTTATGTAAATATACTAATCTAATCTGTTGTTCTTTTAGTTCGGTTCATGTTCATCTGTGTTGTAGCGTGTGTTCATATTTTGTTTCTTTTTGTGATTGAGTAGTATTATAATATGTTGGTATGCCTTGTTTTGTTTATCCATTCATTAGTTGATGGACTTTTGGGTTGTTTTCACTTTTTACTATTGTGAATAATGTTGTTATGAACATTTATGTACAAGTTTTGTTTCACCATCTCTTATCTTTTGAGTATTAAATAACATTTTATTTTATTGAAAACTTTTTATTTATTTTATTGACATATAATTGACTTACACTGTCCTATTTCAGTTGTACATCAGGGATTTGATATTTATATACATTATGAAATGATCCCCATGATAAGTTTAGTTACCATCTGTCACCTTACAAAGTAATTATATTTATTGACTGTATCTCCTATGCTATACTTTATATCCCCATGATTTATTTATTTTATAACTGGAAGTTTGTGCCTCTTAATTTCCTTCATCTATTTCGCAGCCCATCTCGTTTTCTTCTGCAGACTTGTGAGGAGTGGCTTCTTGATTGCACACGTGGACACATATATACACAGGGTGTTTGGATATTCACAGTTAGAACAAATAGAAGAGGCCAAGGGACACTTGGAGGGCACAGCGACAGTTATACCCGGCCTGGCACAGTGTTTTGACATTTGATCCATCTGCACGCTGTACTGGTGAATACCAGCCCATGGGATTTGGCCTTACAGAGTCACAGGGCATATGTGTTTGGAAGCTTGGGCCTCTCCTGGGATTGGGCCACGTGCTGGCAAGGATGGCTTGCTGCTGGCCACACGTTGAGACAGCTGGTGCCCTGGGCCACTGCAGCAGGCCCCTGCCTGCCAGGCATGACCTCTTAATCACGGGGCCCAGCCCGGCCCCAGCCTTCTTCAGCAGGGGTACCCCAAGGGTTTCTCTTGGAGAGGCACTCTCCTGCCTACCCTCCGCCACCCTCCTCCCACCCAGGTGCCCTGGTGAGGCACTTTCTGCCTGACCTCTCCCTCTCCTCTACCTTTGTTCAGGTGAATACATCAAGACGTGGAGGCCCCGGTACTTCCTGCTGAAGAGTGACGGCTCCTTCATTGGCTATAAGGAGCGGCCCGAGGCCCCTGACCAGACCCTGCCCCCTTTAAACAACTTCTCCGTTGCGGGTACGTCTTAGGGCAGGTGGGTGGGCCAAAGTTTGGGTGCTCCAAGGATGACTGGCTGGTCTTGCGAGCACATGGGGATCGGCTCTTCTTGGACTGTTTGCCCTATTTCTTACCCTTCCCCTGCTCCACCTATGTGTCAGTTGGGTGAGGTAAAGTGGGAAGAGGGAAGAAGGCAGACATTTTCCCCAGCCTCTCCCCAGGCAGCACTGCCTCTGTGGTTCCAGCTGCTGCTGGCCAGGCCCTGAGGTCTGGCTGGTATCATGAGGCTCTGCATTCTGGTAACAGCCTGTTTCTCTGTCCCTCTAAACTAGAGGCATTCATGGCCGCCCTTTCAGCTGATCGCAGGGCTAACCCCGCATCTGAAGTGGTATCTGAAGTGATGCCTACCAGCTGGACCCTGGCCAGTGGAAGCTTGGCAGGCCCAAAGCCCTTGCCTGGATCTTGCAGAACCACAGTCCTGCCTCCATCTCTCAGCCCCTCCCCCCCCTTCCTTCATTCCCTGTTGACCTGATTGGTTACCACATCCTAAGCACATTTCAAAGACACCCCCCTCCACTGTCACTCCTTAGCACAAACCACCGCTCTTCCCCACCTAGTTCCTGCTCCAGCCTCTTGTCAAGTCTCACCCTACCCACTGTCTCTGGAACCCAGTCCTGGTCCCCTCTGTCCTGCTTAAGCCTTGTCCTGGGTGCTTTCCTCATATGCTGGTGACTCTGACATGGCTGCTGCCAGGCCTGGCTTCTCACCTGAACTGCCAGCCTGTCTTGAGCAGCTTCCTCCTCATTTCTTCCTGGGTGTCCCCTGGGTGGACATGTTCCACCATGTCCCAAATTGGCCATCTAGTCTTCCCTTTCCTCCCCCAACTCCCACTCCCTGTTTCCTTTCAGGGAGGGCCCTATTGTCTCCTAGTCCTCAGGCCACAGGCCTTGGCCTCATCCTAGGTGCCTGTCTCTGCCTCCCTCTAGCCTGTCTATCTGCCTTTTCCTCTCCTCTCCATGGCTCACTCTGTAGCCCCAGCCTTCTCCCTGGGCTCCCAGCCTCCATCCTCTCTCATCCTCTGCATGGCAGCTAGAGGGATCTGTTTAAATCTATCTGTGCCCATTCCCTATTTAAGCCTTCCATAGCCCCTATTGCTCTCAGGACAAAGTCCAGATTCTCACCATTCTCCTGAGCCCTGCAGGCGGGCCCCTACCCACCTCTCCAGCCAGTCTCACTTGCCTGCTCCTCACACCATGAGCAGAATTTGCCATTCCCTAAGTATGCTGGGCCCTTGGGCACCTCCGGTCTCTGCATGACATACCCTTCTGTCTGTCTGACCATGTTCCCTCTTTCTTCCAGGTTCAGTATAGGAATGCCCCTTCCTCCAGAATATGCCCCCATCACAGTTCTGACCACTGAGCCGTCATTGTCTAGTAGCCACACACACACACACATACACACACACACCATCTTGTGCCCCATGGAGGCAAGTCAGAGCTATCTCTGTCACTAAGGTGTCCTTAACACCATTTAAGCACACAGGAGGTGGCTTAGGGGATGTGGGCTGCAGGCCAGCAGGGCTGTCCCCTTACCCTCCTGTCTTTGTCCTTCCTCTGCCTACAGAATGCCAGCTGATGAAGACGGAGAGGCCGCGGCCCAACACGTTTGTCATACGCTGCTTGCAGTGGACCACAGTCATCGAGAGGACCTTCCATGTAGACTCTCCAGATGAGAGGCGAGTCTGAGCCTCTGTGGCTGCCCATTGAGAGTGGCAGGCCTGATGAGGGGAAGGGGTACAGGTGGACAGACTCCCTTGTACCCCAGTTTTTAACAGGGAGCTCAGGCCACATCAGGGCCTCTGATTATCTGGAGATGGGTGGAGGGTCAGGGAGCTACATTGTTAATGCGCATCTCCCATGCTTTTGAGGCAGGCGGTCAGAGACTCAATCAGAAGAGATGATACAGGTTTACCTAGTTTAAAAATCACACAGCATAAGGAAGGTGTCCAGCTTCCCTCTCCCTTTTGTCCCTCCCCACCCCCACCCCCACCCCCAGGCTAACTGCTCTTCTTACGTGCCCTCCAAGAGCTGCTTCCAGGGGCACGGGCTCGCTCACTCCGATAGGGCTTCTCATGCCAAGTCCCTGGTTTCGCCTTGTTACACAAAAGGTAGCATTGTACACGCACTGGAGCTCTTTTACATATCCCTTTGCACTCCAAACCATTCTGGACATTGGCTACCAGCTACTCTCGACGCTACTTTGAGGCGGAAACGTGCATTTACAGACCCTCGTATTATTTAGTATAATTTCGGAACCAAGTAACGTATTATAATGATATTGGACTTATATGAATTGGGTGACATCGAGGAATGTATATTTGCAAAAAAACCCCAATATTTTATTGTTTATAATTTTGTACAGTATGATAAGTTTCTAATTGTTATTACTAACTGACAAGATGATATTTACCAAAATAGCTTTCACCAAACAATTTATTCACTAAGAAAAGAATCACTTATCCGATTTTCTCACTCGTTAGATCTTTGTGCACTGTTCGAAGCTTCAAACCAAAATGAGCTCAGCTTTGAAAATCTTTTCCTCCAGATGTAGACTTGTTTATTTGTAATTATATATCTCACTATACAGTGCGCGCTATGTTCGAAAACCGACCTTTCTTCTACAAACTCCCCTTATCGCTCTTTCAAGTGGCATCGTGAAGTGCTCGGACCGTCGTGAGCACGCATCTCACGTTCTCGTCCGACACAAAACCCGCTGACATTTCTTGTATATGTCTTAGTAATTTTACGATATTTTGATTTAATTTCTTGTGCCATTTCAAGATAAAACTTCAGGGAAACATGCATGTCTCAAAAAGTTGCGTTGAAATAACTCAATTCCCCATAATCACTAATAAACTGCAATGTCCCCTGAGAGGGGACATCCGAGTGATATGCTAGAATTCCGATGTCCCCTGAGAGGGGACAGCGGAGTGCAAAGGGTTAATTTGTCTTGGGGAATGCTCCTGCTTCAGTCTACAGTGAGCTGCTGCTGCATTTTTGTTTTCTTAAACAGCTGCACTTGTGTGCTCCCAAGTTTGTAGAGCAATTCTTTATGGATGGTGACTGGGCTTGTTTCCAACCTTTGGCTCATTACAAGCAACGCCACGGTGTAGTACCTGTGTTTGTCTTGTTTGCATATGTGCTGCTAAATTTGTAAGATGACTTCTTAGATGGAGGCTTGCTGGGTTATAGGGGATATGTATTTGTAATGTTGAGAAATGATTCTATTAGGCTATGTCTAAGAATCCACAGCTTTGTGTTTTTCAGATGTTTGGGTTTTCACCAATCTGATCAGTGAGAAATGGCAGCCGAGGGTGGTTTTCATTGGTCTTTGCCTTTGGATTAGAGTTCCTTTCATATATTCAAGGGCCGTGTGCATTCCTCTTTCTGAACTTCCTGTTCATATCCTTTGCCTATTTTTCTGTTGGGTAGTCTTTTTCTTATTTATTTCTGAAAGCTCTTTATGCTTTAGGAAGCTTACCCCTTTGTAATGAGTGGCAAATATTCCTCCCACTCTGTCCCTTTGAGCCTCTCTTTGAGAAATACTCACTTAACTTGTCTCTGGGGTGAGCATTCAGCTGACCTCCGGAGAACCCTAAAACAGTGCCATCCAAGAGGACTTTCTGCAATGATAGAAATGTTCTATACTTGCAGTGCCCAAGTAGATGCTTATGGTGCATTTGAAACGTGGTTGGTGCAACTGAGGAATAAAATTCTTTATTTTATTTAACTAATTTAAGTTTAAAATTTTTTTAAATAGCCACATATGACTAGTGGCTATACGCTTAGACAGTGCATTTCTGGAGCATACACCAAATAATATCACAAGACATATACCACAATCTATACTGTAATTGTTGCATACCTTCCCAAGATCAAAAATATATGCGCCCCTTCAAGGGGAACAGAATATCCATTTCAGGCCAGCTGAGATTACTCAGCTGAAAACTGGGAACCAAAACAGACTGTCAGTAAAGCTGATAAAGACCAATAAATACAGAGGACCTGAGGGTTGGCTGAGTTTTGGAAGTATAGATAGGAATGAAGGCGTTGGCCACAGAGATGGGAAGGAGGAGGTGACTCCAGGAAGAGGAACCAGAGGCCGGAGGAGGGACACCTTGTCATTCCAGGGACATCGGGGTTTTGTGTCACCAAAGAAGCAAGCACCAGAGGTTTTGGAGGGGAGGAGGGGAGGATCCTGAAGCTTGTGAGTTTAGCCAGGGCCTGGACTCCAGGTGGAGATCCCCAGGGGGCTTGGCGGTGGTGACGTAGTTGGGGCTTGTCACAGGTCGCTAAAAGGAGCTGACAAACAGGAAGCCCTTGGTTCAGCGGTACCTGGCACACGGTATGGAAAGGGGCAGTGGGAGCTGGCGAAGTGTTTTCTTAGGCAAGAGACCTGCTCTGGTTTTATTTTAATAAGATACCATGCTCTTCAGTGTGGGGAATTCCCTTTCTTAAGATGGGGGATAGGGTGTGGGGCTGGGGCTGCTCTGAAAACCAGAGCCAGAAACCCAGTGAAAGGGAGCCTGCTCTGCTATGGGCTGTCTCACTGCCCCAGCCTGGAGAGAGGTGGGGGTGGCGACAGAGAGCCGACAGGGGTCGCACTGGTGGCTGGTCCTTTCTAGATGCTGCAGGCCTGTTCACTGCTCCTGGTAGCCTCTCCTGTTCTCCAGTTGGCTCTCTTGGTCAGCTAGAGGGATTCCCTGAGCCCTGCCCTGCCAACTTATTTCTAGTGCACATTTAGTATAATAAATGAAGGTCCAGGGAGAAAAAGGGGGACATATGTAATATTTTCAACAATGAAGATTTAAAAAAAAAAAAAGGTTCAGATTCCTGTGCCCTGAATCAGCAACTCAGCATTTGCCATGTTTGCCTCATGCTGAATCTTGAACTTCTGTTCATATTATGACACTTACCTCCTTAAAACATCAGCAGGCATCTTCTAAGAATAAGGACATTCTCCTACAGAACCATGGTACCATTATCATGCCGGAGGTGATTCTTTATAATATACTAGAGGCCAAGTGCGCGAAATTCATGCACTCCTGGGAGGTGGGGGGCGTCCCTCAGCCCGACTTGTGCCCTCTCACAGTCCAGGAGCCCTCGGGGGTGTCCGACTGTTGTGGAGGCGGGCTCTGGCTGAGCGGCGCTCCTGCTTTGAGCATCTGCCCTCCTGTTGGTCAGTGCACATCATAGTGACTGTTCGTTCTGCCGTTCAGTTGATTGGCATATTAGCCTTTTATTATATAGGATATCTAGTAACATCCTCCCCATAGCCGTGCCATACTTGGATTTCCCCAATTGTCCTCAAAATGTTTTGTAAACCAGGATTTATTCAAGGTACATACTCTCTCGTTGGCCTATTTTAATGTAGTTCAAATTTTTCTCTTTCCCCCCACATGATATATATTTTTTAATTTCTTTATTAAAGCATCACATATTTGTCCTCATCCCCCCATTCCCATCCCACCCCCTCCCCACATATGCTCCCACCCCCCTGTTGTCCTTGACCATTGGTTAGGCTCTTATGTATGCACACAAGTCCTTTGGATGATCTCTCCCCTTTATTCCCACCTCCCCCACCCTCCCTCTGAGGTCTGACAGTCTGATCCATGCCTCCTTGTCTCTGGGTCTGTTCTTGTTCATCAGTCTGTGTTGTTCATAATTTCCCCTAGATGAGTGAGATCATGTCCTACTGGAAATACACTTATAAGAACCGAAAATGAGACAAGCAATAATGGTTATGCTGAAAGGCAAATGAATCAGTCTGTAGTGAATTTCTTTCTGGGCCAACAGTTCTTTTGAGACCCAATTTCAATGTCAAACAGTTCCTTATGTGTACATACCAGCAATGATATTTCAGTTCTGGATGGTGGACAAATAGTGGTAACCCAAGCCCGACCCTCTCTGGTTTGGTCCTGGGCAATCCCCCACATGATATTGATTTATTTTGTTTTATTTTATTTTATTTTTAGGTAAACCAGGCTAGTTGTCTTATAGAATGCCACACTATGGACATGTTCTCTTACTGACTTTTGGCATTGTTTACTTTGGACTTCTGTACCCATATTTTCTGTAAACCAGGAATTAAGTCTGGAGCAGGGTAAGCTAAACTATAGCTTAGCCTCCTGTTTTATAAATAAAGTTTTATTGGAACATGACCATGCCCATGGCTGCTTTTTCCCTACTGTGGTATAATTGAATAGTTGTGATAGAGACCATGTGGCCTGCAAAGCCTAAAATATTTACTCTCTGGCGATTTATAGAAGTTCGTAGACCTCTGATCTTGGCAGCTATGCTTAATAGTGTATTACATTAGTGTGATCTTTAAAATGTAAATTTAATCATGTAATTTCTCTTCTTAGAAAGCTGAGTGGCTTTTAGTCCCACTTGGAATAAGCTTCAAAGTCAGTACTATATTCTACAAAGTCCTTCATGGTCTGGACCCCTCTCCAGAATCATTTCCTACTACTCATTTTCTCACTAGCCACACCGGTCTCCTCACTGTTCCTTAAGTAGGCCAAACGCACTTTCCGCCTGAGGACCTTCGCACTTGTTCCCTTTGCTTGGAGTCTTCTTCTCCCAGGTATCATTATGATTCTCTTCTTGACTCCATGAGGTCTCTGCTCAGATGTCACCGTCTCAGAGTGTTCTGCCTTGGCCCCATGTCTCTGTT